CTACCTTAGAGCTTTCCTCGACGCGTGATCCGAGCAACTCTGCAGTGCAAACATGCGTCATGCTGGGTGTTACATTTTCCTCGATGTGTGATCCATGTGACTGCGCGGTGCACACGCGTCATGCTGGGTGCTACCTTAGAGCTTTCCTCGACGTGTAATCCAAGTGACTCCGCGGTGCACATGCGTCATGCTGGGTGCTACCTTAGGGCTTTCCTCGATGGGTGATCCAAGTGACTCTGCACATGTAGTGCTGGGTTCTACCTTAGAGTTTTCCTTGCCGCACGATCCAAGTGACTCTGCAGTGCACACGTGTCATGCTGGATGCTACCTTAGAGTTTTCCTTGATGCATGATTCAAGTGACTCCGTGGTGCACATGCGTCGTGCTGGGTGCTACCTTAGAGTTTTCCTCGATGTGTGGTCCAAGTGACTCCATGGTGCATATGCGTCATGCTGGGTGCTACCTTAGAGCTTTCCTCGATGCATGATCCAAGTGACTGCGGTGCACGCGTGTCATGCTGGGTGCTACCTTAGAGCTTTTCTCGACATGTGATCGGAGCGACTCCGTGGTGCACACGCTACATGTTCGGTGCTACCTTAGAGCTTTCCTTGCCGCATGATCTGAGTGACTCTGCAGTGCACATTCACCTCAGCATCTCCGTAGGGCAGTCCTTGGCCTTTAAACCTAATGGATGTGTTTAAGTTCACTTCTCAGATTGTCAATAATTCTGTTTCCTAGAAGAAAGCCAGCTTCCCTCTACAAGTGCCCTGGTAAAAGGAGAGCAGGTGGGAGTGACGTTTCCTATACTGAGACTTGCACCCTGTGATCTCTCATGTGTCCCACATTCTGCATGTGGATGGTAAGCATCAAAAGCCTGGCCTATGCTGTGTAAAGAAAATAGAAACCACAGAGGTCAGAGCGAGCATCTTCATAGATGTTAGACAGTGCCCAGGGGACCTTAAATTTCTTAGATGAACATTAGGTTTATTTTCTAAGAATGATTGAAATGAAACCAAATTATTTTTGTCCCTTATTATTACTGACTTCATTCTTGGGATTGCATGCTTTAAATCTTAAAGTTGGTAAATTGGGCAATGATGTGTAAGTATCTTTAATAAAAGGAATTTGATGATTTTTAAGTTTGTTACCAAAGTCTAGGCAGATCTTTGCCTCTGTGATATGACTTTTTCTTTAGAAAGAGGAAATGGTGATGGTAATGGCCTCAGCTTTCCCGTTTCCCGCTTGCACTGTACGTTACACGTTTAAAGTTAACACCAGATGAATTGTATTGATTTCTGGCCTCAGAAATATTATACATATTTGGCAACATAAAGAAGTACTGTTTAACTGTTATAGAACATGCCACAATTATGTTCACCTCTCCTCCTGAAAATGCTTAGAAAGCGCTGGAAATTAGGGGGCAGCATTGCTTTGAATGGCCTTGGCCATTGCTCCACCATGTCTCTGTGCAGAGCATCCCTGGAGCAGAATAGTCCCTGCTTGGTCCAAACCATGGAGGAGAATAAGGGTGGGCATGGAGGCTGGATGCTGTGCTCCCAGAGGATGCGTAGACCCAAGGCTCTTCGAGGCCCCCATCTTACCTAGAGCAGAGGGGCCCTTAGAGCAAAGCAGGAGCCACATGACACCTTCTGTTGACACTGGTGGGGGAAGCATGGACTGGTGCTAACACCTGGTTGTTAGCAGGTGCCCGGGGGACCCAGCACAGGCTGAATGGGAGCCCAGCACAGATGTGGTTCTCAATGGCAGGAACCCACCCCGGCTTGTGCTCCCCACTTCCGCAAAGAGCTCACAGCCAGGCCAAGGGGCGTGTGTGGGGCCAAACCTTCAGGAGTAAGATTAGTGTGTGTTCTTTTCTTTTTGTTCGTAAATCAGTCTTTCCTCTGAGAACACCCAGTGCTTGTGGATTGGAAGCTCAGTGGGCTTATTCGTATTTAACCTGGCAAACCTGGAAGTGGAAGCTGCTTTATGTTACAAGGGTAAGATCTTTGGTGTACTGCTGCGTAACTGTGATGTTTTCCTTTGACTGGTATGTGGGGCAGTGAAAGTGTTTGTGGAGAAGGCCTCACCACGTGATCTGAGTGACTCCGTGGTACACATGCATCACAGGATGAGATGCTTCAGTCACAACTCAGCATTGAGAACGCAAGGACCTCTGTGCTGCCAGATCCGAAGGATGAGGACCTTTCCCAGACCCTCAGGCACTCAGCCCTGGAGCCACCTCTTGCCTCCATCCACCAGGCCCTCGCCAGACACTCCAGGCCACCTGGGGTGTGCAACACCCCAACACCCATGGGAACACCCCTGGGAAGCCCCTGGCTTCTCCAGTATCCCTTGAGAGCCTCCCAGAGCCCCAGGCTTGCGCAACGTAAACCCGGCTGAGGCGCTGTCCTCTCCAACCCTGGTTCCCTTCCCCAGTTTCTGCCACCCCCAGGAATGTAGGAATAGTAACCTCTACCTACCTCCTGCCCCTAAAGTCTCCATCTCATCCCCCGACCCCAGAGGTTCCACCCTCCTCTCCTAGCTCCCTGGCTGCCACCGGCCACATACTTTCTGCCCAGGAACCCAGGTGACTTTGAAAAGCAGGCTGGATTCCAACCCTCTCCTCCATTGCAGGGGGTCCTCCGCGGCCGCCTCCTAGGCACTGGCTTCTCTTGGTGCCTCCTTTCCAGCCCTGAATGCACAGGCCTCTGTGGGGCTGCTGGATCCATCTGCATCTTCACACTCCCCCTTCCCTTCAGGCGCCCATCCCTGCCCCTCCTCAGCTCAGCCAGCCATGGCTTCTCCTTGCAAACTCAGCCTTTCTTCCCCAAAACGGTCACAACTCTTAATAACACATTTCCTTTCTGAGCTGCTGCTGGATGTGTGGCTTCTCCAGGAGGCTGAGCTGCAGGTCTCAGTCCGAGTCACATCCCAGCCTTAGAGCAGGGCCTGGCGTTTGTGTGGCGGGGCCTGGAGTGTGTGTGGTATGTGGCCTGGTGTGTTTGCGGCATGGGGCCTTGCATATGTGTGGGTATGTGGTTCACAGGCTGCAGTGTGTGTGGCTGGGCCTGGCGTGTGTGTGATGGGTCCTGGCCTGTGTGTGGTGGGGCCTGGAGTGTGTGAGGCTCAGGGCTTGGGGTGTGTGTGTGGTGTTTGGCCTGGTGTGTGTGGGTATGTGGTGCACAGCCTGCAATGTGTGTGATGGGGCCTGGAGCGTGTGTGGCGGGGCCTGGGCAGTGACTCCGTGTATATGTGCTCCCTTCCTCCCCGTCATGTTCCTCCTGGTCTTGCTGAACTGAAGATTTCCACAGCCTCAGCATCCTGTTGGCTGGATCATGTGCCCTGAGGAGCCGCTTCACAGATGGCAAGGTCGGTCCTGAGACATGGCCCCTCCGATTTCTCCTTTCCACAGAGTGATGTAGTAACTACTGGCTGAGGAAATGGGATTTTGTGTGAGAAAACGTTTTTGGAGTGACAGGGTGGTGACCCTGCTGTGAGAATGAAGCCAGTGTTAGATGCATGTTCAGATACTCCTTGAATCTCCTTTCCCAGATAGTGTCACTAACCACGTGGAAACTGTGTCCCTGCAGGCGCTGTGCTTGCTGGCCTCCCTGTTTGGAGGGAAGATCGCTGTGTTGGAGGTGGACCCAGCCGCGCTGGTCATGGCTCAGCAGTGCCCCAGGGTGGGACAGGGCCTCTCAGTGCCAGCCAGGTAGAGTGCCTTCAGGTGTGGAGTGTGTGTGCGCATGTTCACCTGTATTTCTTTGTGTGTTGAGAAATAAAGTTTAGGAAACTCTGAGCTCTACCAGCGCTGGTTGGAAGAAACAGTTTTTCATGCTGTTGCTTCTATCTTGTTGAAAACTAAATAGTTAATAGTTTACTTTAATGTGAACCACTATTTTATTTCAGGATAGAATGTACATTATAAAACAGCACCTTTATTAAGAATATATTAATTTTTTCCCAACAAGGATAAGAATATGCTTGACGGTTTTCATTTTCAAATACTGCCCTGTCCATAGCTGCATTTATTAGTCATTTGTAACCGTCCTTAAAGTGAGTGTGTCGTTGAAATGTGTCCATCGTATCATTCTTTGCACTCCTGGCTTTATGTGGTTTGTTTCTGTTTCAGCTCCTGTGTCCTTCCTACCTCTCCACTGTATCTGGGAATTGCCAAGGTGAAAAGCACCAAGGCTGCTAGTGAACAGCGATGTGGTGAGTTTAGTGAGCTATGAAATCTAAGAACGCAGGCTGATGCCTTCTTGTTGTGGCTAGGGCTGCTACATGGCTTTGAGAATTCCTATCTGTTAAAATACGCATTCTGCACTTCCTTCCAGCCTTCCCTCCTTTGTATCTCTGCCTCTCATGTGTTTGTTACGTGCCTGCTATGGTGGGAACATGCTGGGTGCTTCCCCTCCTGAACTGGGCGTCCCTTGTAGCAATTCAGCACCGTGCCCGAGATTGAAGGCTGGTGCCTGGTGCAGTGGGGGTGCAGAGTGCACCCTCAGCAGTGATTGATGGTGAGAACATCTTTTTCCCTTTTTCCTCTGCTGAGGAGTTGGAAAGCGAATCCTGAGTGTTTGTACACCTGCACACTTCAGTGCACCTTTCTGGAACCTGTACATTTTTACCACCATGACATTATATCAAAACCAGTAACTTTCTGGAATCTTGCATTAGCAAGGCCATAATAAATTATCCCTGATTGCCTCAACAATATTTTTTATTGGTTTGTTCTAAGCAGCAGCCAAATAAATCCACATGTTGCATCTTTCAAATATATAAAAATTAACTTTCACTTTAAGATGGTAAACTTTGTTATGTTCCATTTCTTTCAAGGCTTACTGATAATTACGTCTTTTTTTCCTTCATTGACCAGCCTAACCCTTTAATTGGTCTTGGTAAACCTCCTACTGGACCTACTTCGAAAGCCTGAGGCTTCCCTGTACCTTTCTTTCACCTTCTCCCTTGTAGCTGCCTGACCGCTGGCCCTCACCTCCCGGAAGGGCCGTCTTCCCCACCAGTGAACTGGCGACCCTGCCCTCAGGCCTCTTCCCGGGCTGGGCTGGGCTGGGGTTCCCTCGTCAGGCATGTCTGGACCTCCCGTGGAGCCCACCCTCTGACATGGGCCATGTCCTTCATGCTCCCTCGAAGCCCTTGAGCTTGACTTCTGGGACTTCTGTCCTAACCTCTCTGCCCCCTCTTCCTACGAGACTTTTTGAAATCATGCCTTGAACACCTGTGCCTTTCCTGGGTCTCACAGACTGTGTGGTTCCCGCCCGCCTTGCAGACTGGGGAGGGACGTTTTCAGGTGCTAGGCCGGGACTCAGAGCTGAGCTTGGGCCTGGAGCTGTTTCCTTGTTCTGCCCTACATGAGGGTCCCTGCTGCTGCGGGGTTTCCGACAGGTCCCCCATTCCTAGGCCCTCTTTCCATGAAAGACCCACCTTCGGGGTTAAGTGCCCATCTCCTGCCGATTTATGCTCTGCTACCATCCCATCACCATGGGGACAGTTCTGAGAAACTGTGAGAATGAAGGCCTGGGGAAGGCGGCCAGGCTCAGCCAGCATGGCAGCCTCCAGGCCAAGCTGATTCCTCGCTGGGAGTGGCCTCTGGCCTTATGAAGTCATGGCACTTCTGCTATGTAAGGAGGCGCTAATTACTCATCATTGAGAAGGCATCTTAAATTGTGAAAGACACGAACAGCAGAGAAGACAACAGCAGGTGGGTTGGAAGATGGCTGAGAAGAGAATGCCCGTGGGCTGCTGTGGGCCTAACCCTCCCCAAGCTGCTGCTTCCTCCTGGGCCTCCCGGCCTCCTCCTCTTCCCGGGCCCTCTTGGCCTCTTCCTCCTCCTGGGCCCTCCTGCCCTCCTTCTTGCCCTCCTGGGTCCTCCAGGCCTCCTTGCCTGGTCCTCCCAGCCTCTTTGTTCTCCTTAGCCCCCCGAACCTCCTCATCTTCCTGGATACCCCAAGCTTCCTCATGTGCTTTTCCCCCACCCCTCCTGGTCTCTCTTAGCCTTGTCAATCTCACCTCCTACCATTCATCCGTAACAACTGACAGCAGCAGGAGTTAGAGAAATCCCCAGGTAGCCGCAGGCAGGTCCCCAATGAAACCTGACCTCCAAACCAAAGACAGTTTAAAGCCTGAAAGCCAAACTGTAGGTGTCGGATAAATCCACAGATCAGATTGAGAACCTGTTTTCCTGTCTGGCACGCTTTCCTCTGATTGGTCGCTACCCTTCACCTATTTTACATAAACCTACCCTTCTCTAATTGGCTTTTACACTGCTGTGCCCATCTCTGAGTTGTGCCTTTTTTGCATAGTCGTAAACCAATCAACATGCACTGCCCCATTCTGAGCCCATAAAAGCCCTGAACTCAGCCACACAGCAGTGGTTGTGGGGGGACTACCTGACTGAGGGTAGGGGGCTGCCCTCTCTGGGTCCCCTCTCCGCTAAGAGCTGTCACTCAATAAAACTCTCTGCCCGGGCGCAGTGGCTCACGCCTGTAATCCCAACTACTTGGGAGACTTAGGCAGAAGAATCGCTTGATCCCTGGAGGCGAAGGTTGCAGTGAGCTGAGATTGCACCACTGCACTCCACCCTAAGCGATGGAGCGAGACTCTATCTCAAAAACAAACAAAAAAACTCTCCACCCTTCTCACTCTTCAGTGGTCAGGATAACCTATTCTTGGATGCGGGACAAGAACTCAGGACTCACTGAATGTGGGTATGAAAAATGCTGTAATGCTGTAGCCTTCCACCCTCCACCAGCGCTGGGCAGCCACCCCCCACACAGGAACAGCAGTGGGGCCAGGCCCGCCCCAGAGCCACAGGCCAGGGCAGGGCAGCGGGACCGAATGGGCCGTAACACAAATGGGGGCCAAGTGGGCAGGTAGTTCCTGTGCCTAGTGAGGGCCCAGGGAGGCCTGGGCAGGGGCACTGCCAGCCTCGGGGGCTTCCAGCTGGCAAAGAGACACTGAAAAAATCCTTCATCACAATGTCTCTTCTAACATGTCTGGTCTGGGGCTGGAGCTGTTCATGCATAGAGTAATATTCTTTCTTACGTGCGTTCTTTTGTGGTGTGCTGTTTTCACTTTGTGTCTGTGAGATTTGTTTCAGTTGCTGTATAGCATTCTGTTGTCTGGATATACTGCCGTTTATGTACCCACAGTTTATTCAGTATTAACAGATGTTCAGCTTGTCCCAGGCCGCTGTTGTTGTGAGCAGCCTTTGCAGCACCTGCTGTATCCTGGAGCCGGGAGGGCTGCCCTGAGGTCTGCGGGGGCAGCTGCTGGGCTTGGGTAAGGTTCCCCATGTGGCAGACAATGGTGAAGATATTCCCAGGTAGCTGGCCGACTGCTACTCTAGCGGCACACACCTCCCCACCTGCCCTGAGCCCTGGCCAAGGCCGGATGTTGCTGGGCGCTGGAATTTCTGCTCACCCAGTGTGAGACAGGATTAGCACTGGGTGGTCGCAGGAAAATGGAAAACCCAAGCAACAGTGAACACAGGAAGGTGGCAAAGTAACCACAGGGCAGCAGAAAACCCAAAGCAAGGGAGAGAAAAGGCCAACCCATCACTGTGAGGCCTCCTCAGTTCTGGGAAAACCCGAATAAGAGAAGGGGGCTGTAGTAGGGGGTTACCTGAAATCCCCTCCATTCCCAGGATACCTGATGATGATCCCACCCTCTCATTAAAGAAACACCCACAAAATGGGGTGCTCAAAGTCCTCTAAGCATGCTTCCCTCTCCTGAGCTCACCTGGCTTCTCACTTAGGTGTGTGCTTTCACTTTGTAGCAAAAACTGCTGCTTTTCACATCTAATTTCTTGCTCTGAAGGTGCCAAGAACCTGGAAACCAGCTGGGGGTGGGGTCTCACCAGCATCTGGAGACCCTTCTGAGCCATGTGGCAACCAGTGGAGATAAAAAGCTGTCTTATGATTTCGTTTGCCTTTTCCTGAGGTGATTGTTGCTTGTGTTTAATCAGCCACATGTTGCTGTCATAAACCTAATTTGCATTTATTATCTCTTTGCTATTATTTTGTACAGGACATTTTGGATTCATGTTCATGAGTGATTGATTTCTCAGGAACTTGCTGGGTTTGGTTTTGGTGTGCCAGCTCCACAGAATGACCTAGCAAGAGCTTTCTCTGTTTCTATACCTGAATGATTTGTGTACAGCTTTGAATTAGGTGTATCATTGATTTTGAGTATAAAACCAGCCTTGTATGTCAGGGATAAATCCCATAATGTATAATCTTTCTGCTGTGTTGTAGAATTCAGTTTGCTAACGTTTTATTGAGGATTTTTGTATCAATTTTCATCAGAGAAATGGACGCTTAGTTTTTTTGTTCTGTTTTGTTTGTTTTTATATATTTTTTGGAACTGAATGAAGTGCAGTGCGTTCCATTAGAGATTTGTGTTGCTTCCAGGGGTTTGGGTGCACAAGTCTATAGCTTCTGGCCTTTTAAGCCACTTGCCACGGTCCCTCTGACTACAGGACCACAAGCCTGGGACCAGCACACACCATCACGGCACAGGCTTCCTGGGCCAGTCGGAGATCGTGCAGTGGCCGGCGGGCTTGGCCTTTCTGCCCGCACCTCCCTGAGGCCACACAAATCCTAGGTCCCTGCGGCTGGAGTTACAGCGTCCACAGCTCACCTCAGTTTCAATATCTTGTCCTCATTTTCTTTCTTCTGCGTTTAACAAGATAAAGCATATATTTCATCTGGCATTTGTGGCTTTTCTCTGTGGGAGAGGCTGTCTGAATACCTAACCAGCATGTTACACAGATAATGAAAGTCAGCATTCGCCTTTTAAATAGCAGCACTCAAAAAATTGAAAAAGTCCTAGGTAGTAATTATGCTAGTGAAGAACCGAAACTGTTTATTAGGTAAATAATATGGTCTTATTGCATTATATATGTAGTAGTCTGTTTTTCGTGTCTTTTAAAAGAAATTTTCTGTTCATTTCTTTTTTTAAATTATAAGATATATATAAAATAAAACTTACCATTTTAACCATTTTGGGTGTATGGTTCAGTGGCATTCTGTACCTTCACATTGTTGTGCAACATAAAAAAGCCTTTTTGAACCATTCGCTTAATTAATACCAAAGGAATTTTATGTATATACATACATTTCTAGTGAAAAATTTTCGGAAAAACTTGACTAACCAATATTAATTAAAATAGCTAATCATTGCAGTAATACTAGACTGTTCAGATGGTTTTCCAAAGTTCTTTTTTTTTTCCCATTTATTTATTTTATTGCATTTTAGGTTTTGGGGTACATATGAAGAACATGCAAGATTGTTGCATAGGTACACACGTGGCAGTGTGATTTGCTGCCTTCCTCCCCATCACTTACATCTGGCATCTCTCCCCTTGCTATCTCTCCCCAGCTCCCCACCCCCCACCGTCCTTCCCCTATTTCCCCCCAACTGACCCCAGTGTATAGTGCTCCCCTCCCTGTGTCCATGTGTTCTCATTGTTCAACACCCGCCTATGAGTGAGAACATGCGGTGTTTGATCTTCTGCTCTTCTGCCAGTTTGCTGAGAATGATGGTTTGAAGCTCCCCTGTGTTCGTAGACTACGCTGAGTGGCGAGCAGGGCCTCCTGCGTTTCCAGCACACAGAGACCCATGTCTTGTCTGCCTGCCTCCGTGGACGGCTGCGCGTTTGGGGAGTGAGATCTTGCCGCACAATCTGTCCTGAAGGAGACACAAGTCTCATGATTTGCTCTTTCAAAACTTACCCTATTTGTTTCCTTAGCTTTTCTTTTTATATATGCTTCATTGATTTAGATCATGCCTTAGAAGTGGAATTTTTAGACTTTTTGTCAATATGGATCATCTTGTTTCAGATGAGCATATGTGATGTACTGTTGTTTGCAACCAGTGATAGTATTTAGAGTTTAGAACAAAACCTTTAATAAGAACAATCATATAAATAGTTTTAATATGGAGATAGCTTTTACAAAGTGATGAAATTTTAACATGTTGATGTTTTGTGTGTAGTTTAGAAAATATTCCCATGGAAAATTAATGGATATGTTTCATTTACAGTAATGCTATAATCCCAAAATTTGCTGGCTTCTGCTTATAAAACTATAAAGGAGATAATATAAAAAAGAATGTATGTGATGGACGAGGAACTATTATATGTTAATGCTTAGAGCATTTGTGAAAGTAACATGCAGTTATATATTTATAAACCTTATTCTAGGACTTTTTAGACTTTCTCATAATGAAGTATACTACTAATGTGTCCATAATGTTATTATTTTATCCTGAAATTGTTTTCCTTTTGGTGATACTTTGTCATTTTTTGGAGAAGGCTTTTTCTCCTTTCCTCACTGTGTAGATTGGACAGGGCAGTTTCCTGGCTTCTCCTCCATCCTCTGAGGGTCCCTCTGGGTCCCAGCTGTGTGTGGCATCTACCTTCCTTTCCCATAGAAACCTCTCCCTTTCCAGGTTTGGCTTCGCCCTGTGCAACCCTGTGAAGCCGGCAGTACCCAGGCCTAGGCCCAGGCCCAGGGTGGAGGCCTGACTCAGCAGGTTCCTGGTCACCTCCTGGACTTTGATTTGCACAGTGAGACGTCCACAATCTTAAGTTAATGCTCTATTAGGGCCACTTGATTCTTTTTTTTGAGATGGAGTCTTGCAGTGACACCTGGGCTGGAGCGCAGTGGTATGATCTCGGCTCACTGCAACCTCCACCTCCTTGGGAGGCTGAAGCAGGGTTCAGCGATTCTCTTGCTTCAGCCTCCAAAGTAGCTGGGATTACAGGCACCCACTACTATGCTCAGCTAATTTTTGTATTTTTAGTAGAGATGATATTTCACTATGTTGGCCAGGATGGTCTGAATCTCCTGATCTCGTGAGGTGCCCGCCTTGGCCTCCCAAAGTGCTGGGATTCTAGGCGTGAGCCCCCATGCCCAGCCAGTCCACTTGATTCTTAATGGGAATATAATTTAGGTTATCCAATATGAAACAGTAGCAGAAACAGAACTGAATTTGTTTACAAAAAGGAACTATTTTTAGAATTATTCAGTATTATGCAAATATTCATTTTTTCTAAAGCTATTTTATAATATTATACAGACTATTCATATTGAACACCAATTATTAAGTTTATGCGAAAATAAATAGTTCTGGCAAAACTATATTTCATCTGAAAACATTTTTTTTGATTTGTAAATATTTATGGTAAGTTCACGTGATGTCAGAGTGTTTGTCAACTGGTAGTCGTATGCAAAATGTAAAATAGGCTGGGCCAGGCGCAGTGGCTCATGCCTGGAATCCCAGAACTTTGGGAGGCCGAGGTGGGTGGATCATGAGGTCAAGAGTTCGAGGCCATCTTGACCAACATGGTGAAACCCCCTCTCTACTAAAAATACAAAAATTAACCAGTCGTCGTGGTGTGTGCTGTGCCTGTAATCCCAGTTATTCAGGAGGCAGAGGCAGGAGAATCACTTGAAACTGGGAGGCAGAGGTTGCAGTGAGCCTAGATTGCACCACTGCACTCCAGCCTGGGCGACAGAATGAGACTCTGTCTTAAAAACAAACAAAAACCAACTTGGGTTATTTTCTTATCCTTTTAACCCCTTTATTTAATCTTTTGCTGGTGATGGTTGATGTGACTTCAGATACGAAACCTCTTAAATTTATAGTCAGAAATTCATTCTGTTGGTGTGAATGTTTCTTTTTTGAAGAGACTCTGTTCTTCTTCTGTCCATAATGAGATGTTAATTTTCGGTGTTTGTTTCTTCTTTAAAATTGCCTTTCTACAGCTAAACGGAACGTCATGAAGGACCAATTCCTGGTTTTACGCAGTAAAATTAAGTCATCTGGTTATGCCTCGGCACCACAGTGAGTGAACTCGTCTCAGAATCGGGAATGCACCTGCGTCATAGATGCAGGACTTTAACACCAGTAGGGACACAGATATATCCCTGAGGGTCACATTATGACATAGCAATATAAACAGGAGTTAAAATGTGGTGGGTTGGACCACAGCATGCCAGTCAGCAGCAGCTGCAGCGGCAAATGTTTCCTGAGCACTCACTGTCCGCTGGGCCACGGAGCAGCCCTCCGAGTCCTTGTCCGATAACACGGTGGTCCCGTGAAGTGAGGGCAAGCTGGTAGGGTGTGGAGCTGGGAGAGCATGATGATTCTCTAAATAGTAGTGGCCCCTCAAGGCGCCGGACACAGTGCTCTTCTTAGAACACAGCTTTGCTGTAACATCAGAGCAGATCACAGAGTATATTTAAGCCCTGAGTTAGCAAGGCTGCTCAGAGACAAGGAGAGACGAAGTGGCAGGATACTCTGAGAAACCACGGGGAGGCCTTGAGATTCCCCAAATCTTCACAAGCCTATTCCTCAAAGGGAAAGCTGACTTTCCTGAAGAAAATGCAGACATATCCCCTCCTCCTAGCTCATCTCTTGACCTTTGTTGTCTCTTAACACAGTGGCCAAAATGGCCCTGTGACCTGGAGTCCCTGTCCTCAGAGTACACGCTAGTCTCCCTGGTTGGTGCTCACCTCTACCAAGCTCCCCCTTCATGTGCCCCTGGCCACTGCCCCACCCCACCCCTCCCACTGGCTCTGCTGTGCTCCAGGCAGAAATCCCAGGCCACTCTGTGAAAACTCACAGCCTCCTCTCGTCCAAGGGCTTTCCTGATCTGCTTGTTTGTTCTCTTTGGCTTGAACAGTGGTGACCATGCCTTACTTATTATCTGTTCTTTAAACCACTGTGCCTTGGACAGCACTCAGCACCCTAAACCCTCTCATAAGGCATTTCTGGAGGGATGGATGGATGGATGGAAGGGGATGGAGGGATGAAAGATGGATGCATGCTTGCATGGATGATGGGGATGGAGGGATGGAGACATGGAGAGATGACAGATGGATGAGTGGGTAGATGGATGGAGGGGATGGATGGATGGAGAGGTGAGAGATGGATGAGTAGGGGGATGGATGGAGAGGATGGAGAGATGCAGAGGTGAGGGATGGATGAGTGGGGGGATGGATGGAGGGATGGAGAGATGCAGAGGTAAGAGATGGATGAGTGGGGGGATGGATGGAGGGGATGGATGGATGGAGAGGTCAGAGATGGATGAGTGGGGAGATGGATGGATGGAGAGATGAGGGATGGATGAGTGGTTACATGGATGGTAGGGATGGAGGGATGAGAGATGGATGAGTGGGGGATGGATGGAGGGGATGGATGGATGGAGAGGTGACGGATGAGTGGGGGGATGGATGGAGAGGATGAATGGATGGAGAGATGAGGGATGGATGAGTGGTTACATGGATGGTAGGGATGGAGGGATGAGAGATGGATGAGTGTGGGGATGATTGGAGAGGATGGAGAGATGCAGAGCTGAGAGATGGATGCATGGCGCATGGATGGAGGCATGGAGAGATGACAGATGGATGAGTGGGTGCATGGATGGAGAGGATGGATGGATGGAGAGATGAAGGATGGATGAGTGGGGGGATGAAGGGAGGATGGAGGGATGCAGAGATGAGGGATGGATCTGGGTGGATGGATGGAGTGAGGATGGTGGGATGGAGGGATGAGAGATGGATGAATGGATGGATGGATGATGGGGATGGAGGGATACAGAGATGAAAGGCAGATGAGCGGGTCAATGAAGGAGGGATGAATGCATGGTTAGATGGATGGAGGGATGGGTGAATGGATGGATGATGGTTGGGTGGAGGAATTCTCCAGTGGCACCTGCAGCTTTGTGTGAATTCCCCAGGTCTGCCATATTAAGGCATGTTGTGAGTGTTGGGCTTTGCGTGGGAGCCCTGGGGGATGAGGGGTTGCCAGACATTGGCGGCCCTGAGTGCCAACCCGGGGCTTTGGACTTAACAGGAAAAGCCCAGCATCAGGTTCCTATTACAGGATTTTAAAGGAGTCACAGGACAATGTGTAGCAGGATGATGTCTCTGGGGAAGCCTGAGAGACACAGGAGGGGAGGAGGTGACTTGAGGGCTGGAGGACAGGTGGGAGGGGCTTGAAAGCATTTATGCAGACGTCTGTATCTATAGATGTAATTTTTGTCACTGTAAAATATAAATCTCTTAGGAACCTTAGAGCTCTTAATATTTGAGAGTGATATAGAGTTTTCTTTCCACAGCTTAACTATGTTTTCGCCGAAGACCAACATCAAGAGTGAAGGTAAAGGACCGTCAAGACACAGGAGCAGCTGCACATGGTGTGTGATCTAGTACTCATCCAAGCTCATTTGAAATAGCCCAGACCTTTACAATACTTCAACTGGTTCTTTCCAAACAGGTAGAAGACCTTATATGTGTGCATGTGTTTATGTACATATGTACACAGATATGTATATCTATATTATTTATATCTTTTTAGCCAAATTTAATTCTTTCCTGTTAATTTTTCAGACATGCTGTGTTCTTACCACCTTAACGCAATTTTGAAATATTAAACTTTTGTTAAAATTTAGTTTAGAAAATGTTGTAGCTGATGCTCACCCTGCCATGCCGGTGGATTGGGTGAAAATGTTGGGGATGCTGCAGCGCCAGGTGCCCATTCTGAGTGGCCGTGGCCCGTGCCATTGGGAGAGCACCTGTCCACGAGGCTGGCTCACACCGGCTGTGGCTGGCTGTGGGCATGTCCTGCAGACACCTGGGCCCCTTATGACTGGACAGGCAGGCATCTGGGGCCTCTCGCAGTCCTGGATTTAAGATTACCTTGTTCGAGAAGAGATATGGGCTACTGTACTTAAAACCCATTTTAATGTACGTGGGTCTACTTTGCAATCACTGCATTACTGAGCACCCGTGTTGACTGTGCCCATGCTCACTGCTCTTTTCTGCAGTCTGCTGCTGTCTCCGCCATGTTCTGCTTGATACTATGTGTGGGCTCTCAGCAAAATGCATCCGGCCTTATGCAGATGAAGCATGGCATCACAGTTACATTCAACTCTGACTTTTTTGGTGATTTTTTCTGTGAGGGCCCTGGTTTCCAGGCAGAGCACGCTGTCTCTTCTGCGTTTGACTCTTGTGGGCCTTCTGTTGAGAACTGCTGGGCAGCAATGGTGGCGAGGCCTCCGCATGCCTGCGCAGGGCTCAGGCGTGTACACAGAAGGCATTGGCGTGTACACGGAAGGCGTTAGTGTACACAGAAGACACTGGTGTGTACATGGAAGGCATTTGCAGATGATTTGAGTGATTGACATTATACCACCACCCACAGCGGCCTGAGACTGGAAAGTGAAATTCATTTTCTCTTAGTGAGAACCCTCATCCCTAAATCATCACAGTACTCACATCAGTTTATGTGAAACACAACAAATCCTTGCTGTTTTACATGTAAAATATATGTCTTTTTAGGCGATGAGAAATGTTAGTCTATTTAAAAGAGTTATTTCATGACTTTGAATGTAAGAGTCTAAATATACACATTTATAGATAAACATTCAAGTTTACTGGAATACAATTATACATGTAGATGGGGGGAAGCTCACTTCATTTCTTGGTTATATTTTACTTCTAATCTCACTTTGAGTGTCTCCCGATCATTGTTACCTCTGGCCTTCCCTCAGGGAGGCGTACGCCGTGGACTGCGCTGTGCCTGCCAAGCCTGGTCCCCGGGTCGCCGCAGCCCCCGCCTGCACACGTGTGTGCTGCATCCAGTACTCAGGTGCGCCACATCCTGCGGGAGCTGGGTAGCATATCGTTTGTAAGAGTCTTTTATTCTGTCCACTGTAAACATTTTTCTATTGTATCATAAATTGTAAAAATATTTGTAAAAACCTTGGATAACTTGAAGCTGCATGGGATGGTTTGTGTCTAGATTAAAACCGAGACTTCATTTCACTTGACTGTAGTGAGGGTGACCACAGAGCATCTGGCCCCTGCGTTGGCATGGAGACTGGCACTCACTAGCACTGAATTTGCTGTTCTGTGGCCAGCTCCTCTGGGTTTGGCTCTCTGTGTATCTGACCCCTCCTACAGAAGCGTTAAGGTGGGCCTGGTGGAAGGGCTTTGGTAGGCAGAGAAGCTAGCAGAACAGTCGCCAGTTCCCTCTGGAGACGCAGCCTCTGCTCATGGATGGGCTGCAGGTGCCAGGCTAGGAATGGTTGCACAGGCTGTGCACAGTGTCCCTTCCTTGCCAGACCCTCAGCTGGGGCCTTTTCCTGCAGGGCTGAGTGTGTCTCGGCTTCCGTGAGATCCGCCCTGTTCTCATGTGTGTCCTGATAATGCCTTCACCAGACTTCCATTGGACCTCGGCATTTTTTTTCTTTCTAAATAATGTTTGAAAGAAGGGAGGAGCAGCTTGTGAGAGTGCCCTTGGCCTCGGCTAGATGGTTGCACCACTCGGATGCTTCTCAGAAGCAAGATTGACTTGCAGGCGACCTGTGCCCTTGCCTGGGGCTGGACAGAAAGTCCTGTCTGGGCTGGTGCCTTGCCCCTCAAACCACCTGTCCAGAGGGTTGAGTTGCCTAAGGGTTACCATTTACCATTCTGCTAAATTCCCTTTATTTTATTATATAATTGTAGCCACAGAAGTTTTAAAATCATTTTTGGAAATTCGATATGTAGCATTATCAGTAAAGTCAGTTTGATCTTTTGATAGATCAGAACATTTCTTCAGTGTTATCGGCCCTCAAGTTTGAATATTGTGGGTGACGTGTCATTTGTTTCTACCCTGTTTTCAGAAATTGTTTCAACATAACTGCTTAGCTGAATGTGCCTCTGGACAGTCTGCTGATTTGAGGCAGGCTCCGGCACCATGTTTCAGGGGCCGTCCTGTCCTGGGTACAGGACCTTTTGGGTGCAGCCCTTCCTGTTCACAACCTTGTGCGGCAGCCTCCCTCTCTCATCCTGCTGTTCCTCTTCTGTTAAGGGAGGCTGATGACAATGACAAAGCAGTGCCTTACAAGGTTGTCGGGTAGAGGACTTGAGAAAGGGTGGACACGGACTGGCGCCTGCAGATCCCCATGCTGATGTTCGTGTGTGTGTTTCAGAACCAAGTTTATGAGAAGTTCTACATCTTGCCTGTGGTTAGTGTGACTCCTATGAATTAGGCTTTTCTAAGAGGCCTTTGTTTTTATTTTTTTAACAGGAGATGGGCAGTGGCTGGCCTGTGGGTTGGCCAACCATCTATGTCAGGTTTTTGATGCCAGCCTGACTGGGACACCTGCTGTGTTTTCAGGTAAAACGTGTCTTAATTTCAGTCAGTATGAATGTAAGGGTGGGTCCCACTTAGGTCCTGGTTGTCAGTTGCTAAATGACAGTTTAGTTTTCTTTGTCTAAACTGGATTCACTGAGCTCTTAAACCATTCAGGGTAGACATAACTAATGAGAACAGCGTGGCAGCACTTTTGTGACTGGTGCCCTGGAGGCCAAGCGCTGATCATCTGTAGAGATTTAGGGGAGTGTGTGAAGTTGAATCGTAAATAATTGAAATATATTTAATTAATATAATTAAAAGACATAAGATTGAAATATATTTTGAAATTTAGTAGGGTTTGTACATAGACATTTTTATAAACATAATAAGGCAAACAATTGTTGTTTTTTTTTTTTTTTTAAAGTAGACCTGAGAGCAACAGTGTTAAAATTATGACCATGTCAACTAATAACTGGGGCATATATTTGATTTCTAATTCTAGTTCCATAAAACCTGACAGCTTTTCATTAGGGTCCTGATACTACTTGCATCAGAACTTACATTTCGTAGATATTTTAACAAAAGTACAGAAACAAACAAAAAAAATATTTCACTAGTCCTTCTGTTTTTATACAGGTTGAGAATCTCTAATCCAAAATTCTGAAATCCAAATGCTCCCACATCCAGAACTCTTTGAGTACCAACACGACGCCAAGGAAATGCTCACTGAAGCATCTCAGATTTCGGATTTTTGGATTAGGGTTGCTTAACTGCCATAATGTGAATATTCCAAAATCTACAAAAATGGGAAATCCAAAACCTCTAATCCCAAGCATTGCGAATATGGGACACTCAGCCTGTCATGTAACCACCCCAAGGGCAGTCGTTAGGAAATTCGGAGGTGGGGACCGATGGGGCTGAGGGGGGCGGAGGCAGTGGGGCCCAGGCCTGGGCAAGGCCACACCTGGGAGCAGACGAGCCCCCCAGTGACTACGACTCACCCCCAGGGTGAGGTTTGGGAGGCCCCCAAAGGCAGGCAGAGCCAGACTCGGCTCCTGCATGAGCAAAGCTGACGCCCCTGCATGGTCTGGGAAGAACACAGTTCTCCCGTCTTGGCCTGGATGCCACCCTCTCCCTTTGAGCCTCTTGCTCCTGATCTCACCCCATGTCTATCCTGCATGGCCTGTGCAGATCATGGTTCTCCCACTGTGCCCTGAATGCCACCCTTGCCCTTCAAGCCCTCTTGCTTCTGGTCCCACCAGACATCTATCCCTGTGTGGCCTGGACGCCACCCTTGCCCTTTGAGCACCCTTGCTCCCGCCCCCATCCTGAGTCTATCCTGCAGCCTCAGAGCCTCCACCGTGCACCCCAGAACCTTGAGCCGGCTTCTTTCATGGCTGAATGGCTGATATGGGTGGTTATTCTGTTGATTGGGGATATTTTACCACTATTTTATTGTTAGAAAAATGGCTTTTCCCTGAACTAAAATGCAGTGGGTTTTCAAACTCGTCTTGACAAAAACTTCCTCTGTTTCTGTAGGGGGAAGGGTCACGTTTACCTACCTCAACTGCACAAGCCACATCGTTTCACTTTGAGGGTGTAATGTTTAATAGTTACGTCACTCAGCTTTGAAAATGTGACTGGTCTCTCAGCACCTGCCCAGAACACAGAAAAATGAGTGTCTTTATTTCCATTATGATCAGGGACAAATAAGTATAAATTCAAATGCCCTCCTGGAGACTTCGGGGTCTCTGAGTGTACAGTCAGGTAATGCAGCCCAGCCTGAAAGCCACCGAGAGCAATCGTATTTAATTTAAGAAAGGAGTTACATGTTTCTGCTTTAAATTTTAGAATGTTTCCTATCAAAAATGGCGTCAATTACAAAGACGGGCACTCCAGTCCCATGCCTTCCTTTGAACACATGCCTGGCACAGAGTAGGTTCTCCGTGATGCTGGATGGTAGGTTCTGAGCACACTGCGCAGGGGAGCTGCGCTGTCTGTCACGTGCCTGGGAGTCAGTGGTGATCACTGTGAAGTTCTGGGGTCACGCATTTCAGAAGATTAAATCTACAATTCCATGATAGATGTGGAATTGTTTATAAAAAGAATCTTTGTCAAGGTATGAAGTGAAGGTTTGCATCTCTCCTGCTCCTAGGCTCTTGGTTGGCTCGAGCTGTGCTGAGTGGCTTCTGCTCCGCTCCTTCTCTGAGCAGGGACTGCACACATCACCTCTGTGCCACTCACGCCCCCCACCCCTGACTGCTTCCCCCAAGCAGGGCCCATGTCCAGAGGAATCCAGGTCCAGAGGAGGTCTAAAACCCTGACCTAGGCTGGGCGCAGTGGCCCATGCCTGTAATCCTAGTGCTTTGGGAGGCTGAGGTGGGCAGATCACCTGAGGTCTGGAGTTCGAGACCAGCTTGGCCAACGTGGCGAAACCTCTTCTCTACTAAAAAATACAAAAATTAGCTGGGTGTGGTGGTGGGCACCTGGAATCCCAGCTATTTGGGAGGCTGAAGCAGGAGAATAACTTGAACCCAGGAGGCAGAGGTTGCAGTGAACTGAGATTTCACCACTGCACTCCAGCCTGGGTAACAGAGCAAGACTCTGTCTCAAAAAAAAAAAAAAAAAAAAAAACAAAAAAAAAAAAAAAAAAAAAAAAAAAAAAAAAAAAAAAAAAAAAAAAAAAAACTTACCCAAAAAAAAAAAAAAAAAAAAAACCCAAAAAATAACCCTGACTGGACAGGATTTTAGAATTCTTTTCACTCTATTTCTGAAGCTCCTCATCTCATCCCACACACCACAGGGGAAACTGATCAACTGAAAAGAAAGAGAGAGTCCTTCTGGATAGTGAGGAGATTGAGGGGAGATTGGAAGAGGAACCCATGTGGGGTCCCCCATGGGCCCATTGCTTCGTGGGGATTGGCTCCAGAGGCCCCAGCCATCCCTGCAGTGATTTGTCTTGGATGCACCCTGTGGCCGAAGTGCTTCTCGCCTGTGTCTGGGGCTGGAGCTCGGGAGAGGAGGGGGACTCCCCGCATTGGCAGGTTCTGAGGAATCTCCGTGGTTTTCATCCTGGGAGTGGGAGGTCCGTCCCTGACACTTGAGATAAGGACAGGCCAGCTTGTCAGGGCTGGGCTGAAGGTGTCGCTCTGCAGTCCTTGCATTGCTGGTGCCTCTGCTGGCCTTGGTGGCATAGTTGGCCACTGGGTGCCCAGCAAACACTGTGCTTGTAGGAGGAAGTAGGAAGGACTGGAGAAACACATTCGCAGTCTCACTAAGAAGGAAGAACGTGGGTGGTAGCGGTAGGTTCACCCTCTCTCCTGTGCGACCTCATGCGGCCTCTGTGCAGCCTGTGGGCCAGGTGGGGGGGCTGGTCTGAGTTTGATATTGGAAGAGGGTGGCCACATGGCTGGTAATGAAGTGACTTCTGAGGTCAGTGCCTGGGCGGATGCGTCAGGCCCTTGCCACTGGGAGGATGCCCTGACGGCCCAGGATGCGGGCACGGGGTGCTGCAGCAGGCGTCTATGAACCTGCGATATTCTCGGGATGGTGCACAGCTGCGGATGCCACCAGTGTTCAGTACCAGTGGCGTGGAGGGTGTTTATTAATGGCAGTCATGAATGGTGACTTTCCTTTGAGTCTCGCAGCTGCTGTTCGCTGAGCAGCGGTGCGGAATGTTTGGAGCTTTCCTTAACTGGCCTTGATACTTCTGCTAAAACTGCCAGAACTCTACACGTGAGGGCAGCAAAGCTATTTCCCGTTTTTCTGTGCTGTGAATTTCAGCACTGTGTTTCCTGGGGCCCTGTTGCAGAACTGAGTTATATTCTTAAGCCTTTACTGGCTTTCCCATCTTTTTTATCTTGGTGCCCTGACAGATACGATGTAGTGAGATTGCAGTTTTTTGTCTAGTCTGTAAATTATCATGTGCAATTCACATGCTGAGGCCTGTGGGATGGGGCCTTCTGCTCCATGGGGAGATCTCGGCTATGACAAGAATTTTCTTGGAAGCTGTGGTTACCCATCCCCTGTGATTTTAATCACAGAATGCTTATCTATGGAGGTGAAACGGGGTCCTTGAGCAGGTCTGGGGTCATTTGTTGTCAGTCTTCTCCCTGTTAACCCAGCTCAAGTGCTCAGGGGGTCAGAGGCTGCAGGGCTGGGCTCCACCTCTCCTTGCCCTCACCTCCCCAGCTTCTCCCCTCTCTCCCTGCTCACCAGGACACACGCCTGGCTTTCTGCTCCAGGGCCGACCTCTGAGAAGACGCCCATCCCTGGTCGTCTTAGCTTTCTCCTTTCCTCTGTGTCCGCCACTTCTTAGAGCCTTTAGGTGGTGGCAGCTGTGAGGCTGTTTTAAGACACCCCCTGGCCTGATGGCTGTTCTAGTAATTATAAGGCAAGGCAGGTCCACAAAGCAGCACGTGCCCAGGGCCTGGTCCCCAGAGTTAGGTGGGGAGTAGGATGAGGTGGGGACCGGACAGAAAAGCTCTTATGGGTATGTGAAATAAACACTGTTAACCTTGTATCCTACCTTAGTTTAATATCAGAGTGGCACACACTGCCAATATTCAGACGCCTGAAGACCAGCACTGGCACTCTCACAAATCAGCATCAAAACAGCCATTTTGAGTTTGGGCAAAACTTTTCAAATCTGTCACAACAAATGATTGACTTATATGTGTGTGCTCAGTGATTTTTTTTTTTAAAACTTTTTTCTTCAATGTTGATAGCAGTTATTTAAAATACTGATACATTGTCATGCAGTCCATAGATTTCTATACTGTAGTTCATAACACTAGATGCTACCATGTTCTTCTCTGAAAACATACACTCACAGATGCACACATATGTTGAACATCATAGTTTAAGAAATGTGAGGTTTTACACTCCCTGGGTGAGGCAATCATACCCCAAACCTCAGCACCACGCACTATCCGCTCGTAACAAACCTATACCTGCACCTCCTGAATCTAAAATAAAACTTGAAAAAATGAAGCCTGAGGCTTTAGAGCAACCGCCTTCAGAAGCCACATTGAGCCTCTACTGAAGGGAAACAGTGCACCCAGCCTCAGGCTCCACAGCCTCACTGGAGCGAGGAGAAGCCTCATGGTGTGCCTCTGATTACTTGAACCATGCTGTTCCAGTTGTGTTGTATGAAAGCACCAGATAAGTAGCACTCAGTGAAAACGGATTTTAATAATGGAAACAGTAACCCTCTCTGATCACTCCTGTTAGGTCACGACAGGGCAGTTAACGCCATCTGCTGGAGCCATGACCAGAGGTGGCTGCTCTCCACGGCCCAGGACCGGACCCTGCAGGTGTGGTCGGTGCATAGGACAGAGCTCGCACTGCTTCTGGTAATGGATGGTCACATCTGCCATGGGCTGTCATTTCCAAAGGAGCAGCCCTCAGCTGAGAGCTTCTCTGTTTTACCTTAATAGGAGATGAGGAAAGATACATAAACCAAGAGTTGCTTTAATGGAATAAAAGTTACTGATTAATTAGTTTCTTAAATGTGTGTCTACATGTATATATCCACACACACGCAATGGGCACACATGCATATGGTATACAGGTACATACTTACATACTGGCTACACACATGCTTAATTCATAAGGTTAAATCTGTCCTTAAGTTTGTTATGGTCTGCGAATGCCAAATGATTAACATTGAAATATTTGAATAATTTTAAATATTGATTCAGTGTGATTTTATAGTCAAGACAGTAATAATGGCCAAAGGCTATTACGTGGGGGAAGTATATTTTGGGGAGAAAAGTGACATGTTGATGAACTTATGGGAGATCATTTGAAAGCAGAACAGGAAAGGAGAGACAGGAAGATACGACCTTACGACTAGGACAGGGAAAGAAGAGGAAACGGTAGGAAACTCATCTTCAAATCATCAAATTATGAGCAGATGACTTGCAAAGAACATAACATAAACGCAGTTCAATTTTCAAAGATGTTGGCATTTATTTTCTATGGGTCTTATATGGAAAGGGGATTGAATATGAGACAGATAAGAGAGGAAGTGTATGTTAGGGAAGACCTAGGGCCTCTCTGAGGGAGGAAGGAGGCGTTTGTGAGAGCCATGGGTGCCGCTGGCCTCCTCTGTGTCGTAACATGTTTGGTTGTGAGGTCTAAATTTGAGAGTAGACAGCTCAGAACTACATTTTTAAAAATGTTTTAAATTTCAGCTTTAATAAAATCCTTGCTACTTAGTACGTTTACTGCTAAGTTTCGATTTTCTTTTAAAGTTGTTAAAGGGCTGGAATTCAAAACATTACAGTAAAATTGTAATTATATAATACCTTTCAGAAGGATTAGGAGGAAACAAAAATTGTAGATTGGGTCTAACAAATATATGTACACAGTTAGAATAAATAGATGTTGTGTTTTAAGAAGAAATAATTTTGTGTTTAGAGCAATAGTGTTTTTGTTGACATTTATTATATTGACAATAACTATTGATTTGCATTACAGGGCAAAGACATGTTTTCTAAACCAATACAGTCTGCACAGTTTTATTACATAGATGCCTTTATATTGTTATCTTCTGGCCCTGAATTTCAGCTACTGAAGTATCACATTGACACTTGCAAAGATGAGATTAAGAGGTAGGCAGCCCTCCTCTCTGCATTATTTTTAGATCAGAGGAAGCCGTTTCAATAATGTGATGTTAAAAAAGATATTTACATTTTAAAGTGTCACGCTAAATTTAATAATAACCTCCTATTACCAAACTACTGATGAGAGCTGAATAATGCAGATGCTACGCATTTTAAACCTTCCTTTGTATTACTATGCGTGGGGTCTTTGGAATGAGAATGTGAGAATTTGGGGGATTTGAGAGACCTGAATTATCATCTTGGCTCTGCAGCATATTGAAGTGATGTCATGTGGGACAAATACTATTGATAATAAAGTTAAATTATGAACTATTTCAAATATATACGTATATGTGGGGAATAATAAGTATCTTCTTAGCTACACCTAGCTTGGACAAGTATTAACATTTTTATTATTTATTTGTCTATTTTAGATGGAGTCTCGCTCTGTCACCCAGGCTGGAGTGCAGTGGCACAATCTTGGCTCACTGCAACCTTCGCCTCCCGGGTTCAAGCGATTCACCTGCCTCAGCCCCCTAAGTGGCTGTGACTACAGTCGCACGCCACCATGCCTGGCCAATTTTTTGTATTTTTAGTAGGGATAGGGTTTCACCATGTTAGCCAGGATGGTCCTGATCTCCTGATCTTGTGATCCACCCACCTTAGCCTCCCAAAGTGCTGGGTTTACAGGCGTAAGCCGCCATGCTTGGCCAGTATTAACATTTTACTATCTTTGTTTTCCAAAATTTTTTTGAGAATAAAATATTACAGAGGGAATTAGGAACCTGCCTCCCAGTCCTGTCCTCTTCCCTTTCTCCTCCTTTTGAGATTGTTGTATTGGCTTCCTGGCCGTAGTTTTATATTTTTGCTGTATCTTTAGGTATTCACGTCATTTTATTTTTTTGAGGCTTTGAGTATAATATAAGCACACTTCTCTTAATCAAAGTTACATTTCTGAGATGTGTGACTTTGGTTTGTTAATTGGGGTGGATGCCTTGTGGTTGGGAGGAGACTGGGTCTGCCTGCTTCTCTCATGGAGGAACTTCGGGTTGGGACGTGCAAAGGGCTGGGGCTTCTATCAATAAATGGGCTTGCAAGGAATCCCTGATCTCCATGAGAATGTCCCCAGTCTCTCTGTCCCGTGTCACGGCATCCCGGAGTGATTTCTGGCCTGTTCTCGGGGGCAGAGGGGTTGCATGTAGGGAAGGGCTCCAGGACTCAATGGCCCCTCTCTCAGCTTTCTCTTCAGAGATGCCCAGGCCTTTCAGTCCTAAAGTTTATTTTTACTTATCTGGAGGGAGTTTCACAGGTCAGCTCACCTCCCAGGGTTCCTGTGTCAGCTGGCACTGCCCTTTGCCTCTGAGAGTTCGCGGCTTCTCTTCTGGATCCTGCCTCCTCTTTCTGATCTTGTGGGACTTTCTCTTAGAAATCACTTGGCAGCCACTTCAGTTGGGTTTTGGAAGGTAGTGAAGCTAAGGCATTGCTCAGTTACATGTGGTGGTCGATAGGTAGGATTTTCTAAGCATGCAGTGAAATTCCCTATGGAAAAAAACTGGTGCCTTTGACCACAGACTGAAGAAGGAGGAGGGGTGGCAGATTTTTTATATGTCAAAAATCACCACAAATAATTAGATGTTAATGGAAAGCCAGTTTTTTTTTCCTAAAGAAAAATTAAGGCCACAAATTCACTTTTTCCCTCAGTATTATAAAATGCGACTTCTTAAGTGATACGAAAACTTTCTTTTCATGTTTAATGTTTCTAAAGATAAGATATTTGTCTTTAAAACATTGTTGTAGTGGAAGGAGAGCAAAAAGATTGGTCATCTTGATTTTCTCTTCCAGATATAAACAGAAGAGCAAATCCAAGCTGGTTTGCAGGCTCTCCATGACGGATGCAGGAGACATGACCTGTTTATCAGCAGTAAATGACTTTTATTCCCGTATCTTTCGCCCAGATTCTGTTGGGTTTTATGCCTGAGTGTTGTTCCTCTGGCAGAGGCACGTGCTGAGCATCTCATGAGTGTCAACATCGTGCAGGGCTCTGGGAATGCAGGGACCCTCCTCATGGAGCCCACCGTCTTTGTGTTAATTGTACATGTAATAATTTCATCTCAATGTTGAGAAGGGCCTCACAGGAAACAGAAACATGAGTGCTGTGCAGCTCATGCCATCCTGCAGGTGGGCTGACCTTGCACTTCTGGTGTAGACTTTGTTGACTAATGTGTAGTAATTTAGTTATTCTATACCATCTGCATAACTGGCAAAAATCATAGCGGTTGCTGTTCAAAATAATATGAAATGGAATTCAAAACTTTAATATTTGAGATTTTTATGGCTGACATCATTCCTTTTAATTTTAAAACTTGATTTTAATTTATTTAGGGAAAACTTCCTGATCTTTAGGAATTCATTGTATAAAGTTTTAATTTACTCAAAGTTAGATCTAAGCTGAAGTCTATTGGAAGGTTTTATAGTTGAACTAAAAAAGCGTTAGGAGGTTGTAGTATGTTTTAGTTAGAAATGTGGTAATTTCATGCTAGAATAGGTGCTAAAATACCTAGCAGAAATAAGAAATATGTCATTAGGATTATTCTAGCCTAAATGATGTTTTCTGGAATACAAGAGTCCTAGCGTCGAGAATAATCCAGTGCTAACTGCAGCCTTCGGGTCTCTTGACTCCAGTGCACCTGTATTCCCCCCATCTGGTAGGAATATATAATTGTAGTTATGAGTATATATAATATACTCATGACTACAGCATTCAGGGCTGAGCATGAAGCTTGTGGGGTGTTGGTGGTCGCAGGAGCCCTCAATGTGAAAGTGCTCCTTTTATGTCAAGTTGATGAAGCACATCATGGTCACTTGCCAACATGGCACTGTCGGGGTTGTGTGCTCCCACCATAAAGCCTGCCCCAGGGACTGTCTGTCATCCACTCTGTGGGTCTGTCTAATCTTAGTTCAGTCCTTTCTTCTGAGCACAATATCTACATACTCAATTATTTGACATCCGATTTGGGTGTTTCATGAACATCTCAAACACCACGTATCTAAAACTGGAACTTCCACCCCAAAATAGGCACTGTGGTGGTCTCCCTTTTCCTAAGCATCCCCTCCATCGCTGCCCACCTGCTCTTGCCAATGCCTGGGGCCAGATGGGGTGGAGCTGGACTGAGCTCAGGACTTTTCCCGTGGAACTTCAGAAATTCTTAACTAGTCGTCCCTTCATGAGTCTTCTAATATTCTAAAGTTTTTATTAGTAAAAGAGAGGGAACTGTCCCTTCCCTGTAGGTAAGAGTGTTGAGAAGAGCTCCTTAACTGGAATAATGCAGACATCGTACTCACAGCTGGCCGGAACAGGACGGTGGAAGTGTTTGATCTCAACGCCGGCTGCAGTGCAGCCCTGATAGCAGAAGCCCACTCGCGGCCTGTCCATCAAATCTGCCAAAATAAAGTGAGTAAGTTTTTGGATAATAGATATCATCTGTAAAACTATGTGCCTAAAGTGTTTAACAGATACAAATGTATGATGCCATTTTATAAGTGCTTGCTAACAAATTCAATGTTAATTTTTAGTGCTCATTAAATTATTCAAAGCCTTGATGTTTGACCTTAGTAGATATTTTACTATCATGTGGAATGTTAAGTTTTGTACTTTTGTGTTTGACCATTTTATGGGCCGATATTAAGATTTTACTAGTAAAACATTCTCACATAAAACTTGATAGGGTTGCATATTTTAAGCAATAATGGCATTGCATGGGGAACACACAGGTGCTATGGACTGTGGGGCAGCCTTGCCAAATCAATAGCTTTTTTTTTTTTTTTTTAAAGTGGAGGCTATTGGATACAGCCAGTCCATTTTGACAGAGACAAAGTTTACAAGTATCCACAGTGGTGGGTTAAAGGGTTGGCATTGCAGGAGAGACATTTGATGAGTTTGTTGTCTGGTAGTAGAACTGCACAGTTCAAAAGACACTTGCTTACCTAAGAGGGCATCTAAGTCTTGGGAACAAAACTATTTCCTAGGACTAAAACTGCAATTTTGGTTTTTGATATGCCTGGAAAGGTTTTCCAAGTCAAGGATTCAGGGTACCATTTTGCTAAGTGAAGTGTTGGTATGTTGGTTAAAGAGATTTTGTTATCCACAGTTTAACACATTTTGAGTCTTTAAATTTCTGTTTAATAGGACGGGTATGGCCTGATTATCTATAAAGTTTTTTAATCAGTTCAAATGGGAAAGAGCAAAGATTCTGGGCTGTTAAATTACATTGAAGCAGATTTGTTCCTGTGTCCCTTCTGGGGAAAGGGAAGATGGAGGTGTTGGGGCCACAGGAAGATGTTCACAGGTGCAGTATGAAAGACCCCTGGATTCAGAGGCTCCATGTCCAGGGAGACAGTCTCCATACATGTCCGTCTGGACAGCTCTTCAGAGAGGCAGATCCGGGACTTGGCAGTGTGGAGTTGTCAGAGCTTTGGAGGCCAGGAAGATGCACGCCTGGGGAGGCTGCCTGCTGAGGAGAAGCCTAGCTCTGTGCCCTCCCTGTGGGGCAACCTTGGTCAGAGAAGGAAGGGTTTCAAGGTTCGGATAGGCGACTTTATCTTGCCTTCCTTTTAACCTTCCACGCCCCACCCCCGGTTAATAGGACATTTCAAGGTGCAACAGGAGAAGGCTTCTCTGGTTTGAATAACACCATGGAAATATCAGTTTGGGGAGAGTTGTTGGAGAAAATATTATTTTTCTGCATCTTCTCTTTTTGTTTAGACTCTTCCTGCATATAAACCAGAGCAAACATGTTTTTTTTTCCCCCCATTTATTTATTTTATTGCATTGTTGCATAGGAACACACGTGGCAGTGTGATTTGCTGCCTTCCTCCCCATCACTTACATCTGGCATTTCTCCCCTTGCTATCTCTCCCCAGCTCCCCACCCCCCACCGTCCCTCCCCTATTTCCCCCCAACTGACCCCAGTGTGTAGTGCTCCCCTCCGTGTCCATGTGTTCTCATTGTTCAACACCCGCCTATGAGTGAGAACA